CCTGGGAGCTGAGCATCACCAGAGATTACCCAGGATAAAAAAAAAAAATTATCCTCATTTTTTGACCCCCGGATGATGCGAAGTTGAAATGAACCCAAGTGAATTTTTGCTCCGTTACCTTTGTGGCCAAGAGGCGGGTCAGGTAGATTTCAGACACCATCTTGCTGCCCCTGTCTCCTTCCTTCTGGTCACCGTGGTCGTGGTTTTTGACCAAATGCCAGACYTTGACGCCGCTYTCCAGGTCGGGGGTGATCATGGGCGCCCGCGAGCGCAGGCTGTCGGGGCTGCCGGTGTAGCGGAACGTGGAGTCTGAGCCCAGGGAAAGAGAGAAAGATAAAGCCTGGTCACCTTTCTGCACCTCCCTCRGTGCCCTCAGCACGTCTGGTGATGCCCAAACCACCTGCAGGTTTTGGGTTTTTTGTGGGGTAATGAAAGGTGAAACCACGCGGGCATAACCAAAATCAGCATTCGGCAAAGACTCGTGTTGCTCTCCATTGAACAAAAAACCTCAGAACTGAGCTTCTTTATTTTCAGACATGGCTCTCTAAAAACCCTCAGAAATGAGCTTTTTTTATTTTCAAACATGGCTCTCCAAAAACCTTCAGAATTGAGCTTTTTTTATTTTCACTCATGGCTCTCCAAAAACCCTCAGAATTGAGCTTTCTTTATTTTCAAACATGGCTCTCCAAAAACCCTCAGAACTGAGCTTTTTCGATTTTCAGACATGGACTTTGCTGCTCCATTCACATTATTTCCTGATGCGAACTCCTCATCCAGATCCACACAAAACTCCTCCCTGAGTTACAGCTCACACACTTTAACCCCAGGCAGCAACTCTTCAGCAGCAGAGCCCTGAGTTTGGGATTTGGTAAATAATGAGAAGCTGCCCAGCACAAAGGGCAGCAGAAACTGCTGAGTTTGTCCTTGAGGCTTTCAGGAGAGTGGTGAGGACTCAAACTGAGCATCAACAGCAGCGCCTGAGGCCATCCCTGCACCCTGAGCCAGCCTTGGGCTGAGCAGGTTCTGTCTCCTGCTGTCCCTACGGGGAAAGAGGAGCTCAGAGGGCACCACACAATTCTCCCCTAATTGCTCAGAAATCATGCAGGGACGTGGCATGTATTTATTT